TTAATATATTATATATTTTGTTTGCGCTTTTAATACTACTAAGTAACATGTAGCTTTCTTTCTGCATGTGGAGCTCCTTGGGACGAAAGGGCATATTAATCTTGAATTGACAAGAAAAAAATTTGACCTCAAAAAAATAAAATTTCTCTTCGATGTAGGATAATGTGAAGGTATTAACTTGAAACATTAATATATTATATATTTTGTTTGCGCTTTTAATACTACTAAGTAACATGTGGCTTACTGGTTATAACTTTCTTTTTGCATGTGGAGGGCGTGCATTTGACAATAACGTGGAAAATAAATTTATATTTTGTGGAAAATTTATATTTTGTTTACGCTTTAAATACTTAACATGTGGCTTACTGGTTATAACTTTCTTTGCATGTAGAGGGGGGTTCGTTCTCCTTGGGACGAAAAGGCACATTAATCCCTCCTTAATACTACTACTACTACTAACATTCTCCTTGGGACGAAAGGGCGCATTAATCCCTCCTTAATGCTACTACTACTAACATTCTCCTTGAGGCACATTAATCCCTCCTTAATACTACTATTAAGTAACATGTGGCTTACTGGTTATAACTTTCTTTCTGTATGTGGAGGGCATAGGTTTCCATTCTCTTTCTTTACGTATGTGGAGGTCGTGAGTTTCCATTATCCTTGGGAAGAAAGGACACAATAATCCTGATAGCTCCGGCACATTAATCCCTCCTTAATACTACTACAACTAAGTAACATTATAACTTTCTTACTGCAAGTGGAGGGCGTGGGTTTCCATTATCCTAGGGATGAAAGGGCACATTAATCCTAAATTGACAACTCCTTGGGACGAAAGGGCACATTAATCCCTCCTTAATACTACTAATCCCTCCTTAAGACCACTACTACTAAGTAATATGTGGCTTATTGGTTATAACTTTCTTTATTGACAAAAAAAAGGGCGTGGATTTCCATTCTCCTTTTGTGCCCTTTAATCCCACCTTAATACTACTACTACTACTAAGTAACATATGGCTTACTGGTTATAACTTTCTTTATTGACAAGAAAGAGGGCATGGGTTTCCATTCTCCTTGGGAAAAAACTTAAAAATTTTGTAAAATTTGTAACATGTGGCTTACTGGTTATAACTTTCTTTCTGCATGTAGAGGCCGTGGGTTCCATTCTCCTTGGGAGAACCCCCTTTCACACCCTCCACATGCAAAAAGGGCATAAAGGAGAACCTTTCACGCCCTCGCCCTCCACACCCTCCACACCCTCCACATGCAGAAAAGGTTCACGCCCTCCACATGCAGAAAAGGTTCACGCCTTCCACGCCATCTCTCCACATGCAGAAAAGGAGAACCTTTCACGCCCTCGCCCTCCACACCCTCCACGCCCCCCACATGCATAAAAGGTAGAAAAGGAGAACCTTTCACGCCCTCCACATGCAGCCCTCCACACCCTCCACATGCCCCTTTCGTCCCCTATCCTCCCAAGGAGAAAGAGAATGGAACCCACATGTTCCCATTAATCCCTCCTTAATACTACTACTAAGTAACAAGTGCCCCCATTAATCCCTCCTTAATACTACTATTAAGTAACATGTGCCCCCATTAATCCCTCCTTAATACTACTACTAATACTACTACTAAGTAACATGTGCCCCCATCAATCCCTCCTTAATACTACTACTATTAAGTAACATGTAATACTACTACTACTAAGTAACATGTGCCCCCATTAATCCCTCCTTAATACTACTACTAAGTAACATGTGCCCCCATTAATCCCTCCTTAATACTACTACTATTAAGTAACATGTGGCTTAGGTTATAACATGTGGAGGGCGTGGGTTCCATTCTTCTTGGGACGAAAGAGCACATTAATCCTGAATTGACAAGGACATGTGGCTTACTGATTATAACTTTCTTTCGAGAGCGTGGGTTC